TGCTGTACGTACTGTACGTGCTGTATGTACTGTATGTGCTGTATGTACTGTATGTGTTGTATGTGCTGTATGTACTGTATGTGCTGTATGTACTGTATGTGTTGTATGTGCTGTATGTTCTGTATGTACTGTATGTACTGTATGTACTGTATGTGTTGTATGTGCTGTATGTGTTGTATGTGCTGTATGTACTGTATGTGCTGTATGTACTGTATGTGCTGTATGTACTGTATGTGTTGTATGTGCTGTATGTACTGTATGTGCTGTATGTGCTGTATGTGCTGTATGTGCTGTATGTTCTGTATGTACTGTATGTACTGTATGTGTTGTATGTGCTGTATGTGTTGTATGTGCTGTATGTGCTGTATGTGCTGTATGTACTGTATGTACTGTATGTGCTGTACGTACTGTATGTGCTGTAAGTACTGTACGCACTGTATGTGCTGTACATGTATGTACTGTACGTAGTGTGCGTGTTGTACGTACTGTACATACTGTACGCGCTGTACGTACTGCATGTACTGTACGTACTGTATGTGCAGTGACACTGTACACATGCCGCCAGTTGGTTGGCCTACATGCAGAGAGGCTGACTAATAATTCATAAGCTGCTGCTCAGAAGCTGGAGGGGAGAAGTGGACATATTTAATGCTGGAGGAGAGCCGCCGTCACATTTATGGAATCGGTGCCATTGTTGAAGGAGAGGACTGTAATGGAAGTACCTACAGTAAATATATACATAATATATAATATACATCAGCGGGCCATCCAGCTGCTCTTTGGTTCTTTGCTTTATGATTCTTCTTAATCAGACGTTTAAAACTGAATGTTTTTCTCTTCTGACGAAAACAAACAAACAGAAACTGAAACCGTTGTGAACTGAAGTCTTTCTTTCTTTAAACGCTGCAGAAATGTATTCATCATCATCTCTTGTGATGAACTTTTAAACAGCGGATGTCTGTATTCATTATTCATCCAGAATAATCTGCTCGTATTGGAATTGTTTTCTTTTTAGACCAATCACACACATGGAAGGTTCACTCAGGCTTAGAACCACAGAGCTTGGTAAATATTAAAGATGTCTTGGCTATCCAAAGATATTATGTATTTGCCCTGTAGGGGTATGAATTTAAAGAAGCTCTCAGTAGTCCCATAATAACATTAATGTCACTGACACAGTCGTTCTAATTAAAGTTTGCTGTTCGCTGAAGATGCTGCAGATTCTCTTTGGTGTGAAAAAAATAAAAAATACGTCAACGTGTTAAAAAAAAGGGCAAATTTATTTAAAGCACTTACATAGAAAAATATGATTGATTTGAGTCAACAATAATAAATAGAGTGCCTGACGATCTGCAGGCCCTGTTGGTACAACAGTACAATCAATATCCAGTTTCACAATACAGCAAAGGCACTAGCATTACCACAACCAACAACATGGGGGGGGCAGGGCTCTTCAGTTCACACGCACCAAAGACATTAAGAAGTCTGAACCCGCCACAAACGCCATCACTCCACAAACCGCCTCACTCTGTGGAGATGACACGAGACGTCAGATCTTCTTCTTGCCTTTTGTTCAGATGAGAGATTGAAAACAATAAACAGACTTCAGGTGTTTTTACACAGATGGACGAGAGAAGACGATGCAGAACAAGTCCTGAGAGGCTACGATGTCAAAGCCTCAGCAGGACATTGAAGACACTGATCATCCTCTGATCATCCTCTGGGGAGACCGAATATAAAGTGAAACTTGAGTAAATCTGGTCAACTTTGGTCACTAACGATCAGAACTTTGCTCTTTTAGAGGGACAAACATATTAAAACATTCGGAGGATTAAAGTCCAACTGAAACATAAAGATCTGCTTTGTGCATAAAACAAAAAAAATCTGTATCCAAATGTGTATTTACACGTGAGGTTTGATTCCGATGCCTCGTCGTCTGTGAATATAAGCGTTCGTAAAAATAAAACTTCATTTGCATAAAACAGTAAAAGACTGAGGACTGTAGCTGAAATTAGCTTCCAAGCTAACGTCTCCCGTCATTGTGAGACGTCAAGTTAATTAATGTGTTAATTAAATAGTTATTTGTTTCCTCAATATAACTTCTCTGAAGTCTTCTCGTCATGAATGAGATGAAACATTCAGTTCAATTAGACTCAAACTCTACTTGTTTGGAGGCTGAAAGAACATTTGTGTAAATGTACCTTTGCATTACAAACTCAACCCGACTGCAGAGAATCTGTGATTTCAGGTTTCAGTTGGACTTTACAGGAACATGAAGCGGGTTCAGTAGTCAGCACGTTTCTCCAGTGAGTCGGACTCTTTACACACGGAATGAACAAACACACGACGGAGGAAAAGCTCTTGATTTGAGATTTAATAACAACTCACTGTCAAGCGTCCGAGTTGGTCCCAATCAATAATCGATATATCTGTTATCATTAATATCATTCATAGATATTTGCTTCTTTCAGACGGATGAAAGACGAAGAAAAACAAACTTGAACAATGACTGTTTTCTGTGTAGTGCAACTCTTTACATGCAAACACACACACACACACACACACACACACACACACACACACACACACACGAAATCAGAAATCATTTCTGGGACGATTGTTGTTCTTTTTTTTTTTAAACGAGGTCAGAAAATATAGAAAGCAAAAAAAATAACTGATTCTAAAGTCGTAATCAAAGAACATTGTAAATGTCAACGATCCTTATTCATTGGTTGTGATTTTACACAGCGAAAAAAGAACAAGAAAGAAATGAAAATATGAGATATCTCAGTGATACCATGGAGAGTGATAAGGCTGAAACATCTTTCTCCAGTTCAGATGTCTTTGTTTGTATCTGGACCACACGTCCACACGTCTTCTGGAAGGAAAGCCCTGATTGTCAGAACAAGTTAGTAAGAATATGGTTGTTGTTTCCCGGCCTTAAAGCTAGTCCCGACAGTATCCGCACTCGTCCGTCCAGCGTTTAGGAAATCCACCGCCGTCCTCTCGGTCGCCTGAACAATTTAACGCACAGGAGCCCAGAGAATGTTCTAAAAGGGGCTGTAAAGCTCTACCGTCATTGTTGGCGCCGTGTGCCGCGACGTCAGTTGGTATCCGGGGGTCCGACCGACGGACTGGCCCCGGCTCTCGGTAGCCTTCTGGTCCTCAGATGGTCCTCTGGGCCGTGAGGTACTTGAGAGCCGCCGAGCCGTACTTCCTAGACAGGTCCTGGTGGAACTCGTCCTTCAGGGTGTTCAGGCAGTTGCGGTAGCTGGAGCTGGAGCGGAACTTGGAGATGTCGAAGCTCGGAGCGTGGGGCATGTGGATCATGAAGGCGTTGGGGAGGACCATGAGGTCGAACTCCTGACGGGGAAAACAAAGTGATTTGAGAAGACAGAACGTGAAATGATCTTCTCAGGAACAAAGATTCACAAACAGCTGAAAGGTAACGACACTAAATACAGTGGAGCTGGTGAACATGTTCTCTGTAGGGCTGTGCCACATCCAATCAATCTCAGCAAACATCCCAGAATGATTTAATGCAAAAACATTAAGGTATCAAACACGTATTACTACTTTACAGTTAAATATTTAACCTTTATTCCAACATGAAAAAAAGCAGAAAATAACACTTTGACAAACACGTCAGGACATCTTATTATAGTCTCAGTATAATATAATAATATATATATCATATAATAATATTCACTATAATATAAAACACACACACACATACATATATAATGATGTATTTATAACTATATATCATGTCTCAGCAGGTGCTTCATGTCCCTCACTCCCTAACTGTCCGTGCTGGATCTGTCCCGTTGTTTTAAAAAGCTAAATACGTTATTAGCATGACGTCATGCAGCTAGCCTAACCTGTCTGGTGTTCAGCTAGTGGAGAAGCTTCATGTGCTGCTTCCCTTTCCCGCTAGTCTGCTGTCTGATTGTGAGGTCAGGCTGATCTGATATCAGCTCTTTGGCCTGAAGGTTCTCCTCAAAGTTCTCCTCTCAAACGGGTCTTGGGGGAGGATCGCGAGGATCACTTCCGGTTTCAACTTCCGGTTCAAGCGAGGAAATGACAAATAAGAGACTTAATAGTCTCTTCCTGGAACAGACTTCCAGGAAGTGTTTTAACGGCTGACACGCCCCCTAATTGTTCATCAGTCATGTGATTGGACGCTGCAGCCGATCGGACTGATGAGATTGTGTTCAACATGTAAACAGTGAAGACGGATCACAGATTAAACTCTAGCTTTATATTTGATTAGTTTATGATTCAACATCTGGTTTAAATAAATAAAAGCGAGTGGGGCTGTACACAGGTTAAATGTGGAGGACGTGAGTAAAACAAAGTAATGTACTAATAAGAACACGGTCAAAACATTGTTGTTTGGCTTATAGCAATATACAAACAATATAAAGTATATACTGTGTAATATCCAGGTCAGCATCGTTCCGTTGAAAACACGTTTAAAATACAGTGAATATGTTTTATAATTTTACGGCTCCTGTGTGGCTTTGAAAACGACATTTAAAGAGGGAAAGGGAGATGGTGGTTGTATATAAAGAACATTGTTTATTTTTATATTGTGCTTAATAAATACAAATGAACTGGTGCCTGTGTCACTTGGTCTTTTGTCCTGTAAGTGGAGACTGATGATGTGTTGCTATGACTGTGTATTTAGTTGCTACATATTGATCTGAGAGCATTTCCACGTTGAAAACACGGTTAAAAGTGGTTCAAAGGTGAAAGTTTTTTCACAGACTATTTATAGACGTTGATTCAACGTTCACGTTTAGACCAGATTTCAATGTGATTTCCAATGCTGGCTTTCAACTGATTAATGTGGATGTGGTTTCTTAGTAAGCCTCTAAAATGATGACATATTATTATTAGCACAATGTAGAGGACGGAACATTGTAGTATTGCAAATCACGTTGAAATCTGGTCTAAGTCTATAAATAGTCGGCGAAGAAACTTTCACTTTTGAACCAATTCTGAACGTCTATTCAACGGAAAAATGGATCAACAAAAGAACCACTGCTTTGTACTACGTCATAGAAAACGTCAGACTGAAGTCATGATCACAAATAATAAACCAAACAACATCATTTTAAAGAGGTTAACAGGAACACATGTATGTTATTTAGTCCTCATCAGAAGCAGCGTTTCTGATGAGCCTGTCAGCGTTTTGATTCTTTAGAAATGGGAAAGAAGGCGGCGCTCTGCCTCACAGAGACCGGACCGTAGAAATGTATGTGTATGGACCACAGACTGTTTATGCTGTGAATAAAAACCTTACTGCCGTATTTATGTCTAGATGATGTTACTTTGAGTCTCGATGAAGCAGCTACAAAGTTAGCATAGCCTAGCACCGATCCAAACAACTCCATCTAGAAAAGAAGCATTTTAAAAGTTGTTTGCTTGTCATTTTGCTGACAGACCTGAACAATCAGCATGTTCTATAGTTATTTCAGCTCCATTTCCTTCAGTTTACTGCAATTAAATTACAGCAAAACATGTTCATTTGGGCTTCATACCCGAGTATGAAACGCTGAATACAAGCGCCTTTAGACGATGTGATGCTTTCTGTAACTTCCACATGTACAAAGCAGCAATAGTGCTTTCTTTTTCCGGCCATGATGATCAAACCTTGTTGGTGTCTATATGGAGGACCCAGCGGTCAAACTGGCACGAGTGACGGGATGCGAACATTCGCATAACAGAATTAGTCTTCTTCAGTTAGAAGTCTTTATACACAACCAGGCTTCTGTAAATCCATTTGCTTCAACATACAGTAGAAACTATAAGTGGTGTCTCTGACTGAGATCAACACTACATAACCGGTGCGTTTGAGGTCCCACGTTGAGGTAGCGACCGTCAAAATAAAAGCCCCGTCCACCAGACGTACCTGTGCATCCAGCTCCAGGACGTGCGACACCTTGTTCCAGCCGAAGCCCACGAAGCGCTGGTCGTACTCGGGACAGTCCCGTCTCACCACCACGTACGGCTCGAAGTCCGGCTCCCACTCCACCTTATAAGGTGTGGTGGCTGTTCGCCATTTGGCATAGTTGGTAGGAGCGTGACCTTTAGGCCACACATGATACCTGGAGAGGGGAACACAGATTAAATGATGACGATCGTTAGCTCATCGTTGCACTGACAACACGTTTGTTGGTGATCAGCTACCTGAAGGTGTAGAGAGTCCCCATGTCCAGCATGGAGAGCAGCTCGGCTTTGGATTTGGGGAAGGACAGACGGTACCGAAGCGTCTCGAACGCTGGAACCACCAGAGCCTTCTTAGTGTGAGCCATGTCCAGCTGCACCACAGTCCTCCTGTAGGGACCACACGGGTACAAGGGGACATTTCTAATGATGGACGGGTACGATGGACAGCGTCCACATCTTAAACTTATCATAGAGTTTAAACACAAGGAAATGTATCTGTGTTGATGTTGCATATTGTAAAGCCAGAGTAAAAACATCAATAATCAATAATACTTTATCATCCGATGTGATCAGCAGATTGTGAGCTGAACTCTCTGACCAGAGACTGTGGTCAGAGCAGCGTATATAATTTTTTTTTCTATAGAGATGGAAAATTATATTTCACAACTTTCTGATGTCGGAACTTAAAATCCAGCTGATAGTCAGTTTAAAAGAATCTACTCTATTTTAGGGAAATGGTATTTATCATTCACTTCGTAGGAAAAACCACACTTTAAATAAACTTGAAATATATTATATTTACATTATATATATATATGTATATACAGTATATAGGTGTAATTGCAAATTGTCTTCAGCTAACATGATTTTAAACAGAACTATTCTCTACCAAATGGAGAACATGTGTCACCATGAAGTAATCTAACATAAAGAGTGACGTAGATCTTTTCATATTCAATAAGCATCAGTGTAGCATAATTACAGCTACATGAAGAAGTCATAGTAATGTTATGTCATGAACGTGTTAGGGTTGAATACTGTGCTGCTGATAATAGATGATCAGTAACACATCAATCATTCTGAGGATTTACCAGAAAACAGAACTCTGTATAAAGGATTATATGCATTACTGCTGATGTTATATAATGTTGCCGCAGATTTATTTAATTGAGTATCTTGAGGAGTACTGGATTAAATACTTCATTATTATGAGTAATTCATAATTACAATGAAAGCTCAGCTGGAATCAACTTGTTTGCTGACGACTGCATTATATTCACCCGAGTCCATTCAGCTGAGCATCATTACTGTCGTCACTTGTTTAGTTTGAGGGTTCTGGATCTGTGACCATAACATCCACTCTCTACATTAGTACGTCGTACCTGAGGTAATCATAGAGGCCGTACATTGGCAGGAAGTCCACGTCCGTCAGGAACACGTAGGGCGTGTTGGCGTTCTTCAGGGCCACGTTCCTCACCAGGTTGACGGGGTAGAACTGGCCCTCCTTGTAGACGATGTGGTAGCCCACATTCTTGCGGTTCTTGAGGACCTCGGAGGCCTGGGCGTAGCGGAGGAACTGCTGGGCCTCGGCGTCGGACATGTAGAGCGCCAGGCTGATGGGGCCCTCCCAGTGCTTACAGATGGCCTCCAGCATCTGCAGCCTGCAGGTAGAGAAGATGAAGTGCGTTACTGAGATGGACAATGATGAATGTTTGGGCTTATTTCTTTTCTTTTTTTAAATGTATTGATTGTCTATTAAATTAAATAGAGCGGAATAACACCCAAAGTCCTGTATTTTAGCCGTTAGAGTTATTATTTCTGATATCATTTCTCTTTTTACTGTTTTATATTTGTTTCTTTCATACATAAAATGAAAGATATTTATATATATATATACACCTTGGTTATACGTCATGATGGTGCCTCACATCTTAGAAAATAAAGTTAAAAAACAAAAGCAGCCATTGAAGAGCCCAAGCTGACATGTTCAAACGTCTTCTTTGTTCATACACTGTTGACATTCTGCTCCAAGAATCAATTAGCAAAACAACAAATCAGTCACTTGACTCCAATAGGTTCAGAGCTAACAGGGATGATGGTGATGTCATTGGAGTAAAATGACTGATATTGAGCAGGAAATAAGAAAACTATCTCACTACAAGTTCCATTCAATCGCTGTTGGATCGAAGGTTTAATTCAAAGTTCTAAGAAATTAATGAAAACTTGAGCGTCTACAATTCGCAGACATCTGCTGATGAAGTTCATGTGATACGATAGAAAGCTAACATGGACCTAGTCGATCTCAAACTGCTGTTTTTCTAAGGACGAGAAGGAACTTAGAACCTCAGTAATAACGGTGTGTTTACAGGCGTTTAGAGTCTGCGTGCTGATTGGCCGGTCTGGGTCGGGTACCTGTCCATGGAGAGCTGGGCCACCAGCGTGATGTCGGTGTCGTCCTCGGTGGGCGTGTACTCGTACTGCAGGAAGTAGAGGTGCACCCTGTGGACGGTGAGCCGCTCCCGACGGAAGTCGTAACACTGGTCGTCCTCGTCCAGCTCCTCCAGAGCGGCCTGCAGCTACAGAGACGCACACAGAAGACGTCTGTCAGGCTCACGTGTTGGTGAACCAACGTCCAAAGAAAGGAAACATCTCTCTGGTTCCTTCCTCACAACCAGTTTCTCTTTTAGAGGAAATCCTTCTGATGATCATTTACGGCTCTTTTCTGCCACATCTTTTGCTTCAGACTGACCAACGCGTATTTAACTGTGAACACACCACCATTAATAATTCACATTAAATTCATTTGGATCGTTTGCGTCTCTGACCTGGACGCTCTCTGGGTTGGCCTGACTCGGGCAGCCGAACAGCTCTCGTCTCAGCAGGTTCCCGTCGTACTCCAGGAAGGTGAGGTAGAGGTTCCTGAAGAACTCCACGTGTTTGTTCTTCACCCGGAGCTTCTTGGGAGAGTTCCAGTGGATCACCTGAAACACAGCGTTTACTACACCGACGTTCTGCTTCTCAATGTGTGAGTCCTGAGTGGTATGATAACCCTCACCCTGTGGATCTGCTTTAACAGCTGCTTTACTTGATAACATGAAGATGGAAACTCTTAAGGTTTGATCATCGACAGCTTCACAGAAGAAAAGAACCAAAACGTAGAATTTTTGCCATGTTTTTAATTTCCCCAAAATCTACTTCATACTACACTACACTACATTACTACCACTGTAAAGCTCCGGTGGGTTCTGTGTCTAAGAAACATTTATATATATATATA